GTATTATATTTAAAGAAACTAAATAATGAAGAATCTTCATGATTTGCACGAATGTTTCTCGCATTCTGAGGAAACAACGGTACCTAGAACCATCAAATTTTGAATAACGTAGCGAACAGTGTTCTTTATCAAAATTAACTCGGAGCTAGGCAAACCCATGTTCCCTTCTGTGAAGTATCTAAGGCCTTCGCCAATGACAGGCCAATTCCGTTACTTCTTTATGGCTAGGTTGATTCGTGAACTTGTTACATACTATATTCAGGTCAGGAAGATTAGTCATAATAACACTTTATTTGATGCCTCCAGGATAACGACACTTTTCTGAAGTTTAGTCTTTTAGTTTTAACTCAATGATTTTTAAGGTGTTTGGGAAAATACCGTGAGTTTACAACTTTGATTCTAGCTGATCGTAATTTCTACGAATTCCATTAAATTATAGATATTATATTTATTATAAATATCCCAATTTCTATTTTAAGACACAGAAATAGTTTTTACACTGCAGAAAGGAATGGCCACCCAGAAGGAAATATAGTAGAATATTTTCGTTCTAAGGTGCCATATTCTTAGTTAGAGTTAATCGTTTAACTAAGTAGTAGAAATCGAGCACAGAAACATTAATGTGTGCTGTTTCCCAACCAAACGCAAATGTATTTAAAGAAAAAACACTATCCATAAATTTACACATTTCTAAGTAGTGGTGATACATTTCTCAAAATGGACGAAGCTGTGTTTGCTCAAGAAATAAGAAAATTATTTTTTCTTGTAATTAAAATAAAGTCAGTTATTTTAGATTAAGGTCCACTCTCACAACTTATGTAATATTTTCTGAGATAGTAAACTTAAATTTTCTTTAATGGTATTAAACGCTAAATCAAAGAGGTACTGAAGCTCATATGAGAAACAGTTTATTACTTTTAGGATAACAAATTTTATTACCCTTTAAGGCAAGAGGATGTCTGGTAAAGTTAAAACCTACCACATCCTGGGTTTGGTACGCACTCGCTGAAATTAAAAACTGCTGTCGCATTTAAATTTAATAATCGATGCGAACAGATTAAAAACCAGGAGAGCATTTTTTCCGAGTTTCCTAATCAGGAGACAAACATTTCGTAATATTACGATTCTTTGTCGTGATCGTAAGATGGTATGTTCAGATCTCACAGTTTGTATTCCTTTGAAACTAATAAATTCCACATAATATATTATTTTTATGATTTATCGTAATAAACATAAATTTTGGTTTATTAATACGATAAAAAAGAAAGTAAGAGCTGCGGAGATGTATATATAGAACTGTATAACGCAAAATCGATGAGTAAATTCCCAGAAGAATTATTTCCGTCTTTGTCAGGCATCAGTAATCAATAAGCAAAAGTCTTTAAACGAAGTAAGTTTTCTAGAATTTCGAAAGAAAATCATATTACATCACGCATCTCTCTAACGTTATTTTTATTTTAGGAGGAGTTGTTAACACCTCGAGTATCAATAGCTGTCAAAAAGCAGAAATAAAAGTCGACTTGGAGGAGAGTTGTTTCTTTCCAGTTTAAGACAGCATGGAAAACAAGTATGGACTCAAGAACTTACGTGTGGGTTACGCGAATGTGAGTTGTAGTACATATAATTAAATGTCTGTTAAATATTCATAAAAAGTTACGCTTACTCAAAGTGATAATTTTAAATATCAGTGAAAATAAATGTTTATCTGCTCTTAACAATGAAAGAATACGTCAAAATTATACTTTTTATCAGCAGTAATGCTTCACAATGGATTTTTTTGCAATAGAAAATAATGTGGCATAATGGTAATATTTTTTATCATTTTCACTAATGACAATATTGTGTATACATGCTTTAAATGCTATTTTTACACGAATAATATAATGCTTTATAAAATTCAACAAAGCTTTCACTCGAATGCTGAAACATTTGAAACTGAATGGCTTAGGATCCATAAATACAAACGTGAGAGTGAAATTTGCATTATGTAATACGACAGGTAAGATGCCAAATTTTTTAAACTAATGTTTTACTGCATTAATTTTGAAAGTCAAAACAATATTTTTTTTTACCTTAGTCAATGCGTAGTATCAGAAGAAATAAATATTGCAAAAAATATACTGTATCATTTTTATGGTTAAAATTAAGATAAATAGTAATATTTGAAATATTTGAAAACGTATTTCATTAGTAATTTATATTGTGTACCTCTAAAACAAAGATATGAAACCATCAAATACGTGAAATTATCTTAAAACATAAACACAGAAAAATATTTGGTTGTAAACTTTTTTCTTGCGAACCGAAAAGACGGTTTTTATAGAATTAATAATGTCATTTTTGCTATAATAATTACTAAATATTTCCTTTCCCTTTTATATGTTTCAAAATGTGATATTATGACCCCGTACAAATAGACTATGTTATTGTATAAAATGGATGGGAAACACACCAATATAAAATTTAATTTGTCAGCAACAATTTGTTTCTGAAGAAGACAAACATATATCTCCTCAACCTCGAAATCGGTCGAGTTTTATTAAAAAACTGCACAAAAGTAAGGTTGCTTTTTTACCTAATTTTAAATGCCGCTGATTATTAACAAAAATAAGAAAGTAAAAGTATTTCATTAGAACGGAACAAATATTAATAAAAAATTATGTATCAACTGATAAATCAAGAGTAATTTTTTTCAATAAATAATGAGAAATGTAAAATTCTAATTAAAAGAAATTAATAAAATAGTTTTTAACATTTGATCCTAATTATGAATTACACAGAATTTTAATTACACAGAATTAAAAAAAAATTCCTGCAATGTGTTTAAATATAACTGCTTGTATTTCGAAACCGTTTTTCAAGTAAAATATTTTTAATGACAAGCGTTTAACTCCTAAAAAATATAAATGTCATTTAATTGCAGAAGAAGCACGCTAACTTAGAATTCAAAATTAGTCAACCCCCTCCAAAAAAAGGGGGAAGGTACTTAGATTGGCTTACATTTTGTACGAAGGTTTGTCAAATTCGAAAAGATGAGACGTCAAGTATTTCTTCTTCACGAACTTGAAACAAAGGGCAAAAAAGAAGGAAACCCAGTTTAGCAGAAAATCAACCAGCGAAATGAACAGAAAACATTTTTTTTTCTTTTTTGCGAATGGCGGGCACTTGCCCATAACGGCATTGGCCACTTCTAAAGCCAGAAGTGGTGACCATTTTATTATAAAGGCACCCAATAGGCGGTCAATGTGATTAACAAAAGAAGGAAACATTTTTATGGATGTTAATGGCTTCAATGAAGTTCAATTCGCCAAAAATTTTGTAGATAATTTTAGCAGAACTAACGTCAGTATTATGGTTATGTAATCAGATAATGACTAGCTATCAAAGATTTGTTTAATTCTCATTTTCGAAAACAGCGAACACAGAACTCTAATGTTCTTTTAGTCTCGTCAATATGTCAAACTACACGGATAAGATATGCTATCCGTGTAGTTTATCTATATTTTTAAAAATGAAAATTAGCAATGCTATCCTTAAGAACCAAACAGTATTTCGAGAGAAATTTACTGGCAGATGAGAAAATGACCTATCAGTAAAATGTTGAACGTATGGAAAATCTGAGCAGTTTTTAACTCGTACAAAGATAAAACGGGATGATGACAAAAGCGTCTGAAGATATTTCTAATAGTGGAATGTATTTTAGTAAGTGGTAAGAGATAACTTTCTTAATGGCTTTTCTGAGTAACTGTAGGAGAAAATCCTCTGTCATTGGTAGCGGATTTGAAATAATTGAGTTTCTGAGAAACAAAAATTCTGGAGAAGTAACCTTGATAGCACGTTAAATCTATCTATAAATATAAAGAAGAATGTCTGTGTCTTTGTTCGCGTTTAACTCAGTCACAACTATGACTATCGTCACCAAATTTTCAACAATTCTTTTCTGGTTCCTGGAAAAGGTTGACGTCCAATTTTTTCCAAAAAAAAGTAGCTAAAATTAGAGATATTAATTAAAAACTCTGAAAACCCTAATGTTCGCCTTCATTTTCCCGAGTGGCAACAGTCTCCACTAGAGATAAAAATCTGCTTTATTTCGAGAACTGTTGCCACTGCTCGCTTTCAAGTCGTGGAGTTTGTTAATAAAAAATTTCTAAGTTTTACAATGAAATAAAAATAGCATTGCCAAACATTAAATACATTATTATCGATTCCAAATATTCGTGGGAAGTCACTTCGACTGCTCCCATTTTCGTACGACTTTATTCAGTCGAAATATTAATTAAAAAACCTGAAAACAGTAATTTTCGCACTCGTTTTTCCGACTGGCAGCAATCTCGAGCGTTGGGGATAAAAATGGTTTATTTCGAAAAGTTTTGCTACTGCTCGCTTTCATATTGTAAAGAATTTTAATAAAACATTAAGTTTTACGAAATTTATGTATATAAAGAAGAATGTGTGTTTGTTTGTTCGTGTTATTGATTTCTCATCGATTATGATAAATGTTTTGCCATATTTAATCGACAAAAACTGAATATAGGCGAAATATTGAATGGAACTTAAGCTTTTACGACCGTTTGATTAGAAAGGCGAAAATCATTAAAATCTGTATGCTATTGTTACTGATATAAGAGAGAATTAGTTTTTTTTTTCTGTCGAAATTTTTCATGTAGGTTACATATCGCATCAGACTGAAAAATGTAATCGTATTTTTTGCATCGTTATTAGAGAAAAATTACAGCGGTATTATAGTTCTGTTTTTGGATACATTTCTCTCAATCTAACTTAACAAGCCTCGGGTACTTCCGCTTGTTATTATAACAAAAACGGAAATTATTTTTATTTGTTTTAGCATGCGAAAACAGAACATTTATGATGAACAGACAAAGGGAGACAGCTTTCACCTTAGGCAATAGCCCTTATGTGCTTTCTCATATTCACTTATTAATAAATATTGAACATTTGGTCTATTTTCTCTTCGAAAAACTTTGTACTGGTTGTAAAATATGAATTCTGAATCTTTGACAGAAGATCTTCTCATTCGAAGCCGATTTCAGGTATTTCATCAGCTGGGCCAGACGACTTCCAGCAATCTTTATGCAATATCATATGTCAAAACAATAGAGCAGATATATATAAGTGAAAACTATAAAAGAACATTTATTATTTTTAAAGATTTTTCATTTGTTCCTAATAAATTTGTTTCAAGAATACTGGTGGATGTATTGACATAAGGACAAGTGCCGTCATTAATAAGGATCATTTATTCAACATCCCCGTCCTCTTGTGTTAAATGGTCAGCTGTAACTGTTAGTGTGTCTTTACAGTCTCACTAATTTAAAAGCCATTTTTTTATTTTCAGCTATCTGACAGCAATTCCAAACCTTTCTTTGCCGTTTTAACTACTTTCAGTTTTTAACACTAATATCATGAACTTCAAAGCCTACAGCTGTACTCTTGAATGGAACGTTACGGTAGTCTGAAATTCTTCATCTCTAAACCTAAGAACTTTACTATGTGGTACCATTTCCTTTAGATGGCCGCTATGCTTACCTTGCACATTACTGTTAATGCAACGCTTGCAATTACTATCAAGTTACTTTTATGTTTCATACCCATTTCAGTTTTGCCAGCATCTTTAGGAATAACAAAAGAAATATTATATTAATTTTTCATATTATTCTATTACAGCTTCCGCCTTTTGTAATAGCGAAAACTGTCAATGGCACAGACGTCTTTGACGGATTCATGCCAGCTATCATTCAGAGAGTATTTCGATCTATGAATATGAAGTGAGTGTGAACCATATATTTTATGATGATATTTTGCTGCGAATATACAAAAATGCTTGCATATAAAGAGGTAGGAATACAACTCACATATAAAAGTGAGCAGCATGGCAAAAAGTAAAATCTAAAATACGTCGCTCACTTTCCAGAGATTATTTTCATAAATGACAAATTGTTATTGAATTTTAAAATCAATAATAAAATAATATCATCATGATACATTTTATTTCCTAATCAAATGAATTATTATCCCTATTTCATTGAATCATTTACTACTTAGTAGCTGAAATTTTCTGTACAAAGACTACGTATAAAATTTATGCATTAAAAATTATATACTTATTTTAATTAAAATTACTATCGTCTAAAACCTGTCTTTTCTAATTTCCTTCTTAAATTCAAATATCAGTCTATGACCAGTTAATCAAAAATTGGTCGTGCAATGTTTTGAAACTGCAGTACCTAGGAAACCTTCAAGAATGTATTTGTAAAAGCTTTGTTCTCAGAGCTTTGGCTACTGTAGATGAGTGTGAATAGCACAGTCTTGGTTTCCAACATAGGGTAAAGAAAAAATGAATATTTATGACTGTAATGCTTTTACGGCGAGTGGAGATTTGAATTTTATTGAGCAGAAAGTTCTGTTAAGGTGGGAGTGGTAACAAAGGGGAGTACGGGAGGCCTTAGGATTTCCTCCTTAGGATACCGTCGGTGAAAAATGAGATTGAACTTAGGCTCATGAGTCTTCGTGTGCTTTATCATAATTAAATAATTTATTCAATCCAATTCTCATTTCAACTTCAATAAGAAAAAAAATCAAATCTAAAATTTCCTAAATAACTTGATACCGTGTTATTTTGTATCTTGCAGAAGGCTCCTGAGGCCTAATGGTAAGACTATGGATTAGCTCTTGAGTTGAAAATGCGTAACATGTACTAATATTCATCATTTGTATTAAGTATTTTAATAGTTTAACTGCAACAGAAACATGTCAATGTAATATACAAAACTAAGCAAAAACTCGGTCTTAGACTGGCACAGATTTGGAATAAATATCCATTGATTATAGTGATTTGACATATGGCCGACTTCACGAGCTAAAAGTTTTGCAAAAAGATGGGAAAAGATGGAAGAAGCAAGCTTACTCAATTCATAGCTACATTGCCATCTGCTGAGGAAAAACAGTAATGAAAGTAAATAAGTTAGGAGATAAAAGTTTCGAGAACATTCCCAAGAAATGAATGGGTGTTAATATCATTAAATTAGAAAGAAAGAAAATTAACTTTTTAGTGAGAATGACCCTTTTTGGTGAAAAGGGTAAGTTTTTGTGAATGTAAAAGCTGCAATTCATTAAGTGAAGAAACTGCAGGAAAAATTCGAATAAAAGAGAATTCACCACAATTTAAAATATCAGTGAATTCAGTAATTTAAAACTTAAGTTTAAAATTTTCTCACTTATAAAAATTCATTTTTCATTTCTCAAAGAATGTTCTTTAAAGGGGAATTTATAGCTTTTCTCCGCAATGTGATTTGCTGTATATCGGTCAGGTGTTACAATTTGGTATGAAAGAATACGAAGCTTATGTTCGAAAAGTAAAGTAAGTGTGGGATAGAAAATCAATAGTTAATCATTTAACAACCTTTTCCATTCTGACTCTATTAAAATTACTCACAAAGCTCCCTCGGTTTATGAATTAGATCACCTTGCACCCTTTCGTGCATAAGAAGAAAATTCCTTTTTTTAGTTAATGACATTAATTTATATTCTGTTCTTTCCATAGCTTTCAGAATTCTAATATTTTACTTTTGTTCAGGGTTGTTACTGTTTTCCTCAACAGATGGCGCTATGCTCGCGTCCATTGATTTTCCTGTAAATTTGGCTGTTTTTAACATCCGCATTTGCAAAACTATTTTGTATTTGAGGAAGGTTGATTCAAGTCAGACTGCCCCGAACTTTTAGTTTTATTTTGAATCTAGGTTAATCTCAGGTTGCATTTTGTCTAAATTTAAATTTTTTAAATGTTCTTTTAATTAAAGGTACATGTCTACAACCAAAAACTAATAAAGCACAACTTTCAGATATTCTCGAATACCCTGTTTAACGATTCCAAAAATAACTGAAGATTGTTCTATAGCTTCTAAATTTTGCGATGCGCACATGAATAAGATTTATATTATGTTACATTTATGGTAAATTATTCGAAATAGAAATGAAGTTTATAATTTATCATATTTTATTTACTGTTTTTAAATCATGGAAATTTAATTACAGTTTGGTCTTTAAAAGGGAACCAACAGACAAGTATGGAACCTTCGAAAATAACACTTGGACTGGAATGGCCGGCATGTTATACAAAGGAGTATGTTTTGCTTTTCAGTGCTGAATAATATTCGTCGTTTACAATTAACGTTCATAATCGGTAACGCGACGGTAAAACAAAATGTATTTTTTTAAGATTATTGTTATTAAATTTTCTTTAAGGTTGTTGTTATAGTAATCACATTGATACAAGTGTTAAACAAATAATTTCAAAATCAAAAGAAGTAAATGGATTTTAATAAGATAATTTTCCAACATTGAAGTATTTATGCTATTTAATCAATTATTATGATCTGATAATTTACTATAATTTCTTTATTTCAGTAGTCTATCAGAATGCAGATTAGTTGTAGAGTATTTAAGCCCAGTGTTTGAATGCTTTTAGAGTGAGAACTTCGCTTACAGTTTATATTCTGTCCCCAGCTCCGCCAAAATCTATTCCGTCTTTCAGCCATTTAGCTAGCCGACGTTAAAAGCGCTCTGTTAATTGCTTTAATGTTATTTTAAATATCCTCTGGAATTTAGTTATTTAGTTTGACTAACAGTTAATTTTTAGTTAAAGTAACTCTCCTTTCAATCTCGTTTTTGCCCACGCTTTCCTGCCAGAATGGTAATGACAACGCGCGTGTATTCCAATTGAGGGAGAAAGAAGCACTATTTAAGCTAATGTTTTGGAAGTTGGTTTTAGAAGCGTGTTACGTCTGCTTGAAGGCTACATTGTTATTCTGAATTACTAGCGATTTGATTCTGTGGTGTTGAGTGCCTCTAGCCATTAGGCTTGTTTCCGCCGGCTTCTACGAGTAAGAGCCTTCCTCGTCGTTAAATTATCATATGAGCCGTTAGGCTAATTTAATTATATTTTATTTTAAGTTCAAAATTACCTGTTTGAGTTAAGCCAGAAGTGTTAGCTTTATGTAAGCCTAAGTGAGGTCGCCTGTTAAACTATATGTTGTAAGGTTTATCCTAAGTTTCTAACAGTTAATGTTTAGTTTAAGCCACTTTCCTATCGTTTATTAATTTCAGCTTGCAACTTCCGGCCAGAACGTGTTTTTATAAGCGCGGTTAAATGCAGATGAAGGAAGAACAAGTATTTAAAGCGGAATTTCTACTGACTTCGTTAGGGAGCCAGATATTCTGAGCAGCGCGCGTTCGCCTTTTAGGCTACTCTCTCTTAAGCTATTATTACGCTTGGCCGTACTTTAGGCCCTTGATAGCTTTGCCGTTTAGTTAGCGTTAAGGGACCAACTCTGTTAGAATCTTGATAGCTTCGGCTATATCTTTTTAGTTAGTTTTACTTCTTAGTATTCCTGAGTTCAAACCCAAGTGGAGGCTTTATTGTAAACTTCAAGAAAAAGTCGTCGGTTAAATTTATTTTTAATAATAAAGGGTAACTAACCCTTCGTACGTTTAAGTTTCTATCTCTCTAAACTAAGCGATTATTTACTTACCAGTTCTTAAGTTCCACACAGTTAGCAGTTAGTTCCACACAGTTGGAATCTTACAGTGTGATTGAATTAAGGATCATTTACACCCTTCTTCTGACTTTTCTGTTGTTTTGAGATCTGAGGATAATTCCTCATGCAGTTTTTTTAGAGCTCGTTATACTTCTTAAGAAAATAAGACTCTATAAGTTTCGTAGCACAAACTGTGCCTTTTGTTAAATTTAAGGAGTTGATAAAAAAGTTATTTTTACTTTCGTAAGACTTTGTCATTTTGCTCCAGATTAAAGTGGTAACTTGATTATAAGTTTAGTATGGTATGAAGGACATTGATTTAATCTTCTGTAAATGCAGAATTCTACAACTATAACTTTTGAAATCGTAAAAATTTAAATGAAAGTAGTTTCATGCAATCTCCTCTTTTAAGAGAGTATAATGAACTCAACGACGGATGGCAACGACGTTACTGCGCCTGCGCAAGTATAACAAAAGTGGTTTTGACATCTGTCGCAGAGAGAGTTGGGAAGCTCCCAGCGAGCGAAGGCGTGGCGATTTTTTATTCGTCCAGTGGGGTGACGAGTGCCATTTTGCTTAACGTCTCTGATCGTGCCACCAACTCGGATATTTCTTAAAAGTTTTCTAAATGTATTAATTAAATGTTGTAGTTGTATCTTCTTGTGTTATGAATAAAGGAATTGATGCATCATAGGTGCTACTTTCCCATTACTGGAGCATTCACGACGTCACAAGAGCAATTAATCAACTAAAATATTTTCTATTTCAGAGAAAGTTTTCTTTAATTCAGATGTTTCCGTTCATAATTTTCTTAAATTCCTGAAGTATGTGTTAATATTCCTCTATTTTGGGAGTTAAATTTAAGTGAACTATTAATTAAATAAAGAATACAACAATAGGAATTTTCTTCTTATGAAATCCTGGAAGGAAATAATTACTTCATGCTTCTTCATATCATTTGTCTCCATATATACTACAGGCAGTTGTGCGTTTTCAATCATTATTCCATAAAACTGGATTAATTAACACGTTATACATTATATCATAAATCTGTATTGCACTTCTACTTCTTCATCAGCCTGATAAGCTAGATATGTAAATTAGAAGAATTTTAAATAGCAAGCTAAAGTACAGGATAGGAAGAGAGAGTTTAGCAACTGAAAACAACGGTAATGGTTTTTTCGGGGGGATTTTTAATTATGGCAAAACACTTGAGAGGCATCTGCTTGAGAGAGGGATGCCTCGTGGAGGAAACATAGCAAGTATCAGATCTGATCAACTACTTCCTGCAATATCTGCAGCTCTTGAGAAACAAATTTTCAGCAGAAATTTTACTTCTTAATTTCTTAACTAATTAAATTTGTTAATTATGTGTAATTAAGCTTCAGAAGAAGTCAGCATATTATTAATCATACTACTCGTATCGTAAAAAAATTCTTGAATATTGCGCCACAAAAGTATCTATTGAGGAATGAGCCATAACATCTGTTACGCCCATTTGTTACAAAAACAATTTTTGTAGATTTTCGTATAGAAATAAAATATAAAAAGATGCGGAAAAGGTACTTTTGTATTCATTTTGTTCGATCTCATCAGCAGCCCAGTACTGAAGTCGCTGAACACTGGTAGTACGACCTGGTTTCAATTGCAGGTGAGTAGGCTGACTGCACGGGAATTTTCGTGATTTTCTACACATTAAGTGTGGATACAAGCCAGTTTCTTTAGAAAGCCGTCATGAAGGCATCACTTCACTTAGGCAGATAGCTCAGGTGTGCTTTGACATAATAAACCAAACCAAACGGTAATCGTATACTAAAGGAAAACAACATGCAGTTATCTCTTTCAGCTGGCACTGATAACCATATATATCAGCCTTGCGGCATTATATAATTATTATAGAGTCAACTCCCAAGTTACAATTTAATAGGTCCGTATTTTAAAAAAAATCAGTTTATTTATTGCGGAGTGATGAAAAATTGCTAGCAGAAACCATCAACAAAAGCAAAACTGTATGAAATTAAAGAAGAAATGCGTGAGCTAACAGCATCATACTAACGTCATAATATTGCTAGCAGAAAATTGCTAGCAGAAAAATTGCTAGCAGAAACCATCAACAAAAAGCAAAACTGTATGAAATTAAAGAAGAAATGCGTGAGCTAACAGCATCATACTAACGTCATAATATTCGGGAATTATTTTTATCTACAAGAATGCATAATTTAATTGCACAGAATAAAAATATATAAGATTTGTTTTAATGATCTGTTGAAAGTAAATTGCATAGTTACTTTCAACAGGAATTTGTGTTAATCAAAGATTAAAGTGTCATCTTTGATTAACACAAATTCCGTTGGTCTAATAAATACTCTTCGGTTCTCAACTTACCACCGGGCTATTAGAATGATGGCTTGGATTTGTCGATTCATTCACAACTGCAAGTATGAGAAGAAAAGGAAATGTGAACTTACCGTTCCCGAGCTTAATGAAGTTCAGAAAGTGCTTATTCGTTTCATACAAACTGAATCTTTTGCTGGAGTTGAAGATAAGCGTTTAGTATCACTAAATCCATTTCTAGATCAAGGAATCATTAGCACGAAAACAACAGTATATCAGCGAGATGATATTCAGAATTTACAACCAGTGACTATCCTCTTATCAAAAGCATAGTAATGGAAGAACATCAAATTAAAGGTCACGTCGGAATTTCTCACGTCTGAAATTCTCTACGAGAAAGATTTTGATTACTATCCGGACGAAGAACTGTTTCCTCCATCTTGAGGCTTTATTTGTAAAATATATTCTAGCATAAGGTTCAATCCTCCAGCTCCACCAATACCCAGTGATCGAGTTTCAAGATGCCTCTGCATTCCAGATTACCAGCATTGACTTTGCAGGACCTTTGATACTTGGGGATAAAAGAAAGGCATGGATTTGCTTTTTAACATGCCCAGTGTATCGTTGTATTCACTTAGAACTCGTAACATCTCTGTCTACAGAAACCTTTCTTCAAGCTCTTCATCGCTTTGTTTGTCGGCGAGATATACCTACTATAATTCATTTGTATAACGGTGCCAATTTTGTAGCTACATCTAATGCTTTTGCCCAGTAGATTTCACAGAAGACTCTAGATGAGGAATTGAAAACCACATTACTTGGAAATTTATATCTCCCGATGTTCCCTGGTCGGGAGGTTGATGAGAGCGTCTAATTGGTTTAATGAAGAAAATTTTAAGAAAAATCCTCGGAAAAGCTTGCTTAAGTTACGAAGAAATGTGCACTGTTTTGTGTAATTGTGAAGCTATATTTAATGATAGACTGTAACAGTTGTATCAGCTGATTCAGATCTCCCTGCTATAACACCAACCACATTTTTAAGAGAATTACAGAACAATTTAGTGCCTTTTATAAAGAAAGAAATCAATGCAAACTTCTTTAGATGTAGATTGCGGCACATTGAGTACGTCCGGGAGACGTTTAAGAAGAGTTTCGCCAACTGTATTTAGGGACTTTGAAAATTTCAAAAGGAAAATTGGTCAAACATTGTGATCTTAAAGTAGGTGACATTGTACTAGGTGGATATGATAATAATTGAATGATTCTGCCTTTAGGAAAAATTCTTTAATTACATCCAGGAGTCGATGGCACAAGTCGACGTACAAAAATTAAAACTCAGAATGATGAATTAATAAGAGTTGTACAAAGTCTCTACACATTAGAACTATTATCTGCAGAGAGACGTAATCTAGGTAGTGATCCAAGACATCAATTCAAGACATCTGTTAAAAGGCATTCTACAGTGAAAGCACCTCAACAGAGAAACATACCCGTTTCAAATGACGGAGTATCTCGTATTACGAGATATGGAAGGATTGTCATGAAAACCCAGAGATTAAACTTTATTCTGGATATCTTTTATGATTTAAAATACGCAGCTAAATGAACGTGTTCTTCAGATTAAATTGCTTGATAATGTAGGTAAATTGTTAATAACATTTTTTCTGTTACCTACATGGGTGATTCCTCTTTCCTGTGTTTCTTTAACTCCCTCGTGTTAACGATAACTCTAGGTTGACCCTCTCCAGTATTACGCCGGTAAATCACGAATTGAGTATATAATCTTTCCCTACGTATATAAGAAATCTAATTAAAGTACAAAAAAAATTTTTAATTTTTCAAATGAAATTTTTCTGAAAAAAAATAATAAAGTACTTACATATAATATCTATGAATGCGTTAGTCTCAGCAGTCAAGGAAGGTTTATTTCATGTTTTGTAAAATTTAAATTTAAATTTCTAGTAATTTTAAATTTTAGTCTTCCCAAATTGTAGCCATTTACGTTAATCTTTCAAATTGAAATAACAGATAGTCACCCTAATATGTTATACCATAGCAATTAATCAATTACCAAATGATTAACTGTTCGAAAACGTTGACGAAATATTCTTTGTTCATCGTGTTGAGAGGGGAAAAGATGAATTAACTGAAGCAAAATAAACACGTTTTTTTTTTTGTTTTAATACCTTAAACAACTCAACTTTTCTCACTAATCTTTTTTTTTATGTTTATTTTTCCATGACTAAAATAAGTTATGTCAAAGTTATTACTGAAATGTTAATTAAATAATTATTCTTAATGTTAACTGAATAAAGTTCATGTAATTGCTGCTATACGTTCAATTGTAACTTCTTTTTTTGTGAGATTCTAAGAGTTAAAGTTTTTTTTTCGACTTTTCAGTTATAAATTATTAATAAATTTCTTTATTTCTTCTTGCACCCAAATAATCGCATCCACATTTCAAAGTTTTAAAGTCTAAAACGGTGCTATGTTATCTTGTCAGATTTCGCAAGTTGCTTTAGATTTTATCATATGTTTGTATATGGCATTTTAAAAGTTTTTGTCACCTCTTTATTTTCTGCTGTCATGATATTTTTAAGATATCATGTTTTCTCCGTCCTTCCTTTTACATCAAAATGTTTTTTCCTCGAGTAATTTTCTCTGTGACGTTTTGCTCCGCGATATTTTCGATGGGCACCAATTAGTATACTGCATGAGTTTTAGAACTTAAGTGTACTGTTTTACTGAGTTTACTTGTTCCAGGCTAACAACAAAGAATCCAAACAGAAACAACTTTGAATTGAATTTGGTCTCTGAACGCTTAAGAATAATCATTTTGCATAGATCATCACAACAATGCATAGATGCGAGCACTTATATTTTCGATGAAATACTCGCCGAGTCTTTCAGCTGTGTCAAGGACCCTTGGCGATTTGGGCTGAATACTCATTATGGAGTCAAAATGGCTATGCTTTAATCTAGAATATAGTCTTCGAAGTAAAAGGACTCCCAAAGTACTTCCAAACATAGAAGGTAAAAAATGAAAAAGCACCGCGAGTTCCATTTACATCAGTCATTTGATGCTTCTGTTAATGACATTTTGGTTTGGTTTATAATCATGACAAAGTAACAAATCACGTCTTTCCATAATCGAGATCTTTTCCGGTAAATATTCTTTGTTCATTGTCTCAAAATATCACAAGAAAAGTTCTGGTTATCTGATGTAGAAAGAAGAAACGTCTTTGTGCACAATCTTTTTCGTGTTGAAAAAAAGTACCATCATAGTCGTTTATGTCATGCTGATCTTCGTTGCCCTCTTTAAGCTTTCGAAATTAGGTGTTATTCATTTTCAAATCTTGTGCTTCATTTCAGAATCATAGCTTTGAATTAATTTTGTTACAATGACATTCTTTCTTTAATGGTTAACAGACTGAATCACAAAGAATGCTGGATTCATTTCTTTAAAAGATTCCAGGAAGCATTCGAATTTTTGTGCAAGCGCTAGTATATGTTCATAAAAGTGGGAAGAACTTAACTGATGCTGATGGAGATCAAATTTAAAATTCGATTGATCTTCTCTGCATTTTCTTTGTTTTATTTTAGTGTTTACAACTTGCTTCTTATTGCCCTTATTATTATTACACTTTATTATTCTTAATTCTCATATATAAATTTCTTTAATTTTAAGACTAATTACTAGTTTATTCTACATGGTTTCTTAATAACTTTGTAGGAAGTTGACATTCTTATGAATCCCCTTATACCAAAACCTGCATTCTACGACTTTGCAGTTATATCGAATCCTGTTACCATAGAAGCTTTTACGATACTATCTGGGAAAGAAGTGGAGGAAGCAGGCTTGTTCTTATATTTCAGTGTCTTAGACAAATGGGTATGTACAATTAATGTTTTATAGCCTAAAGAAAGTTAGATGATAATATTGCAATGAATCAACAGCATAATCATTCCTTTCTATTTAGGTTTGGGCTGGTATGGCAATAACATTGTTAGTGGTAGCTTTCACATCCGTTTTCTTGTTCAAAGAAGCTATGATGACATCGGCCTTGAAGAAGATGCAATTATTTAATGAATATTGCTGGCTTTTCTTTGCCTACATGATGAGAGAATGTAAGTTAAATAAATCTGAAATTTTTATGCATTCGTTTAACTGAATGTTTTCAATAAAAATTTAGCGGCAAACTTCCTCCATTCTTACTGCGTGCCTTCAGAATGTCTGGCTAGCAACTGGAAGGTCTAGAGTTCAAATCTCATCGAGGGCATCTTTGATTTTTCCAGTTTCTTGCTTCGATAAAAAAATCATTCTACAATATAGTTTATTGCAATTTATTCAAATATATATTATAAATTTGATGACAAAAACGATTTTAGTTGAGTCTTCCTAAACATTTGGACCGTTACTTTACGTAACCCTAGTGTTATGCGAAACTCACTTAATATGCACAGCAATTAAAATAAGAAGGCCTGCTTATTGACACTAAATTTCGTGGCTGTCAGATATAAAGCTCATTAAACAACGAATCCAGCTGTTGCCGAACTCAATGCAGCAAGTATCTTGCCTTAACATGAAGAGAAGAATGCTAGCTAGCATACTTAGGCACCGTTAGCTTACGGTTGTCGAACGAAGCATCTTATATGGTACCACTGGCATGTGGTGAAAATTCATCAACATTTAAATATTACAATTAACTCAGGTCCATTCCTACTGTATATCTGCAGCGCGTCTCGCACCTTCAAAGGCAGTCCCTCAAATTCTTCACATTCTAGCGGAAATACCACCAACTAGGCATCAAATTTGAACAAGAAAACCTCTATAGATAATATTTACGTCACAGAATTACATTCGACCACTATCCAGCGTAATTAAAGCTCGATAAATCCACATGGATTCACGTTACATAACCTCAGCTCCGAAAGCTCTCTGTAAAAATAGTTCGAAAGGAGGCATGAAAAAGTTTCTGCTGTACTGATAACAATTCGATCAAATTTACTTCTAAGAGTAGAATAGAAAATCGCAGCACATTCTTTCAAGCATATTCATTAGCCCATGAAGCAGCAATACACCATACCAAAAGCTATCAAGGCTACTTCAATATTAACAGCGGCAGAGCTTCAAACCTAAAGGCAATCAAGGTACGCGTAGAAAAAGCCATCTCTTTCGTAATGTCAGACGATCGATGTAATACTATCACTGGGCAAAAGGTCCCGTCTTGTATTAGATTCAAACCCACAGAGAATACGAAAATACTGAGAATCGTTAGAACTTGCTGATAAGTTTGCGAAGCAAACTACCAGTGCTGCACCATGCAAAACAATCAACACTTTTCCCACTATCTTATCTTAAGCACATTACAAAAGTGCACCTTATGCATAAGTAGTAGGAGCAGTGGTCATATGGAGCTACGGGTAACCGAATCTTACAGTGTCTAAAAGTCAAAATAGAAGCTTATAGCAGCAGCCTATCCCTGACATAGTTCCTAAAGCGTCTTTCTTAACTACATGAAGGGAATCGAGGAGAAATTCTTAGACCAATATTCAGTGTGGAGAGTGTAATACTCTCGATCACTGTGCATGCAATTGCATCAATGTTAGGAAATATACACTCTTAGACCCCCCCCCCAAAAAAAAAACCGGCCCGGGGGGGGGGGGGGGGGGGGAGGGGGATATAAAAGCAAATTGGACCACAATTGATATGTATAAAGTTTCGACGGAAAATTCAAAATTTTACATTTTGGCTGTCAATGAATGAACGGTTGTCGCTACAGCGCATCTATCTGCGCAAATGGCAGAATATTTTGAGAGGAGAAATTACGATTCCAGTCATATTCTTACGAATTTCATTCCGTGTACTCTCGTAGACAGTAACTATTCGCATATAGGGGGGGGGGATATACGCAGGTGAATTGAGAGAGGTCGTGTAGTTGGGCTCAAAGAAGCCGGTTGGTCTTATCGGCGAATAGCTCACATTTGAGCAGGAGCGATGCCACTATTACGATGTTGGCAGGAATGGGGTGAAACATGGCCGCACACAGCGTCAGAAGGAAGCGGTAGCCCTGGAGAAAACGATAGAACGTGAAGACCGAGCAATCGTCAGAGCGGCACTCATAGCCCCAGAGCATCATTATCATCGATTGTACGTGCAACTAGTACTTCAGTGCCGCAAGGACTGTTTCATAGACGGTCACAGAAAGGGGGCTGAGGTCATGGCGCCCCTTGCGCCGACTATCATTGACCTCTGTACGACGTCAAGCTCGTTTGCAGTGGTGTCGAGCTCATTGGCATTGGAATGTCCCTGAATGGAGTAGAATAGTCTTCAGTGATGAGTCACCGCTTTGAACTGAGCCCCGATTACCAGCGAATCCGAGTCTGGAGACGCCCCGGACAGCGGTGTGATACCAAACTGACTGTCTTCCGGCAGACAGGCCGACAACTAAGAGTGATGGTCTGGGGTGCCATTCCATTTCATAGTAGGACACCTTTGGTTGTCATCCGTCGCAACCCTACAGCACAGCGGTACGTCGACGAAGTTCAAAGCCCCGTTGTGTTGTCCTTCATGTCACCGTCACCCTGGGTTTACATTTCAGCAAGATAATACCCGCCCCCACACTGCAAATGTTTCTACTGCTTGCCTTAGTGCTTGCCGAACATTACCTTGGCCAGCAAGGTCGCCGGATCTCTCTCCTATTGAGCACGTTTGGAGCATTATGGGCAGGGCCCTCCAACCAGCTCGGGATGTTGATCTAACGCGCCAATTGGACAGAATTTGGCACGATATTCCTCAGGAGGACATCCGCAATCCCTATCAATCGATGCCAAGCCGAATAACTGCTTGCATAAGGGCCAGAGGTGGACAAACGCGTTACTGACTTTTTCACTTTGTGAAGCTCTGTCACTTCAATAAATCATCCAATTTTTCTCAAACTGTAATCATTTGTTTTTCTGTACATGTACATCACTTCTACCAATTTTCGTCCCATTCGGATAACTCCTTCTTGGTGCGTCGTTTTTTTTTTTTTTTTTTTTTTTGTTTTTTTTTTGTTTTTGTTTTTTGTTTTTTGTTTAATAGTGTACAATTAAAAAATCCAATGCCTTCGAATTAGGTAGCCTAGGGACCACATAAAGTTTCTTCACTTCAGTTTCCGCGTGTATGTGCAGTCCAATCATTACGTTCCTCCGGTTTCATATTTCAAATTGCTGTGCTATGATAAGCGATTCCTCACCTCGAAGAGTAGCTCATAACACAAGATAAACTAATTTGTTAAGAATATACATAATTATACTACATTCTACAGATGTAGGTCATCATCTTGCGAGACGGTGCTGTGTCATCAGCTAAATGTACACATTTAGCTTAATTACTGTACACCTTACGTTGAATTAATCACAATTGAAAATTTAATTTCAGTGCGCATGTCTGGCGCATAATTTCAAAGCGTGTCTCATAATTAGTTATTCATGTCTAAATAATCTAATTGTACACCGTGTCCTAAAATGTCCTTACTCGGCCTTTATTTTCACAACCGTTTGTCATAGATAAATACTTCCATTATAAAAATGTTTTAGGGAACTAGATATAACCGTGTCTTCGTTTGTCTTACTTCTATGAATAAACTGACGTTTCTGGGACGTGTACTAGAAAGTGCATAACCTTAGTCCACTGACTTTGTTAGTAATGGTCTTTATCAAGTAGTCTAGTACATCAGTCTTCGCTTCAAACCAATTTATAGAAAATACGTATAAGATCCCTTTTTTGAATGTACATGTATTGATCAGTATTTTTCCAAATAATTTTCATAAAAATGCTCGGCGGATTATCTTTAAAATCAGAAACTTTTTTCTAAAAGTTAATTTAGTTTCAGTTACTTGCAAATGCAAACATTTCGCTGCCTGACGGCCCGTAAAACTCATTCCCGATTTCTATACCAAATGTATCGCTCAGTTTTTGTCGTCCGAGAGTCAAACATTTTTTGCTTCATTTTTATAATGAATACAAAATTTTTCTAAATATAAGTACAGGAGGAACATGTAAAAAGCTAGATTTCTTAATTCTTACAAATTTATTTCTTTAAATTAAAAATTGCCAAATTAGGAATAATGACGTCAATTGAAACATTTTTGTAACTGAAAGTATTTGTCTACGTCCAACGGTTGCAGGTGACAGGTGACAGGTGACGGAGGACGGGGACGCCTGGTGTTTAACAGAGGTAAACAGGCATATGTCCCGCGCCCTCCCCTATCTACCGGGGGTTTATTGAGATCTTAAAAGATTTATTACATTGCCATACAGGGGCAGATGGAGATACATTGGCTATTTATATTGTATTCAGATTTAGGTTTGCAAGGTATACGTTACATAACATACTGGTTACACATTTAAGGAAAAAAAAAAAGAAAAGAAAGAAAAAAAAAACATTAACATAACACATACATGACATGACACATAAATACTATTAATAAAGAAGGTACATGCGCTTAGCAGAAGGAAGATACTGTATTTCCTTAGATGCAGAGGAGTACTTACATTCACTTAAGACCCTGAATTAGTGGGGTTGGCATAGGTCTTGCCCCAGGCGGTTATCTGGCTGATTATTCTGCAGATGGTATTCACTGTGCCTTTGTTATTAACGATGAATCGTTTGAAGGCTATTTGGTTGTCTGCTGGCAAGTGGAGGTGATTATCCTCCGTGAGCGGGCATTCAAAGATGTAATGGTCTGGAGTTCCGAGCGACCCACAGACGCACAAGCCTGTATGAGAGATACCAAATCGCTCAAAATAGTAGCTGGGAAAGGGCCCGTGCCCCGAGATGTAATTAGTGATGGGAGGTATGGAGTATTGGCGCTCCATTTTCACTCTAGGCAGAAATAAATTGGTTCTGCGACCCGTATCACAGGTCTTCCATTCAGCTTGTCACTTCTGCAGACCTTTTTCCTTAAGAGTTCTCTTGAGATACGAGGGTGGCGCTGGAATAGTTACCATCTGTGCTTGCCAGTTGGTCAGCTGTCTCGTTACCCTCGTTGTTAACGTGTGCCTTAGTCCATATTAAATTTACAATTAGTTGAGGATGTGATTGTAGAATATTCTGGAGGTCCGCTACCAATGGGGAGGTGTG